CATACAAGTAATTAGTGGTACTGGAGTGTTGTGCTGTGACACATACAAGTAATTAGTGGTACTGAAGTGTTGTACTGTGAAACATCATACGGGTAGTTAGTGGTACTGGAGTGTTGTGCTGTGACACATACAAGTAATTAGTGGTACTGAAGTGTTGTACTGTGACACATCATACAGGTAGTTAGTGGTACTGGAGTGTTGTGCTGTGACACATACAAGTAATTAGTGGTACTGAAGTGTTGTACTGTGAAACATAATACGGGTAGTTAGTGGTACTGGAGTGTTGTGCTGTGACACATACAAGTAATTGGAGGTATTGAAGTGTTGTACTGTGAAATATCATATAGGTAGTTAGTGGTACTGAAGTGTTGTACTGTGACACATACAAGTAATTAGTGGTACTGAAGTGTTGTACTGTGACACATCATACAGGTAGTTAGTGGTACTGAAGTGTCTACTGTGACACATCATATAGATAGTTAGTGGTACTGAAGTGTGTCTACTGTGACACATCATATAGGTAGTTAGTGGCACTGAAGTGTGTGTAATGTGACACATCATACAGGTAGTTAGTAGTATTGCAATGTGCATAATGCAACATGTTAGATAGGTAATTAGTGGAAGGACATTAAGAGCTGGGTGTTGAAATCAAGTAACAGAAAGCACACCTACCACCACTACTTTGGTCACTACCTTTTAATACAAAGACCCCTTGACTGTTCCACAGTGTATACCAAGTTTTAAATATATAAATATTGAGTTCTTAAAGCATACACAAAACTTTTGGTGAGGTAATAATGAATACTATAATAACATGTTATGTTATAAATAAATTGTGAAAGTTAGGATTTTTATGTTATTTATTGTAGTATCCACCCCACATTTTTTAAAGTTCATAACCTGGAAAAGGATGAGTACCTCAGCTTGTATTATCTAAAGCTAGTATCACTGTAAAACCTTATATATATTGCAAACCATGTTATCTGTCCGATCATTCATCTGTTTCCCGTTTATGGTGGCCACTTCCCGTGCTGCGTTTCAAAAGCTACACCTGCAGGCAAAGCTCAACATTCACTTTTGGAATGACAGAAAAACAGGCATGAATAATGTTGATGCCAAATTTTATTTCACAAGCAGAATATTCTACACTAAATTGTTAGGAATTAAGCACACTATTATTCACATTTGAAAAGTGTGATGTAACTTAAACAATAAAACTGTAAATAAATTTACCATATGTTATTGTTGAGTGGCTCTTAGTATGACTGAAATGCTCAACAATTACTTTTTATGGTGGGTGGTATAAGTAGCTTAGAGCTTTGAATTTGAGTGAAACCAACAGAGTAATACAATTAACCTTTGTAAAGTCCATGAAATAATTTAACTTGATAGATTAATTTTTACTTTTCCAATCACTGGGGATGTGTACTTTTCCTTGTAGAACATATTATGTAAAGTCAGTATCACGGTATAATTGCACATAGTTCCTATAAAAGTTATTATCATTGTATAAAATAACATAATATCTGAAGCTAGTATCACTGTATAATAAAACATAATATCTAAAGTTAGTATCACTGTATAATAGAACATAATATCTAAAGTTAGTATCACTGTATAATAGAACATAATATCTAAAGTTAGTATCACTGTATAATAGAACATAATATCTAAAGTTAGTATCACTGTATAATAGAACATATTATTTAAAGTCAGTATCACTGTGTAATAAAACATAATATCTAAAGTTATTATCATTGTATAATAGGACATAATATCTAAAGTTAGTATCATTGTATAATAGGACATAATATCTAAAATCAGTATCACTGTATGATAGAACATTATCTAAAGTCAGTATCATTGTATAATATAACATATTATCTAAAGCTAGTATCACTGTATAATAGAACATATCTAGTCAGTATCATTTTATTATTATTATCTATAGTTGCAATCATTTTGATACTAAGTTAGCATGATGCATTATACTAGAACATAAAACTTTACATTAGAACATCTTTCTATAGTTCCCATCATTTTGATACTAAGTTAGCATCGAGCATTATACTAGAACATAAAACTTTACATTAGAACATCTTTCTATAGTTCCCATCATTTTGATACTAAGTTAGCATCGAGCATTATACTAGAACATAAAACTTTACATTTGAACATTTTTTCTATAGTTCCCATCGCTTTGATACTAAGTTAGCATCATGCATTATACTAGAACATAAAACTTTACATTTGAACATCTTTTCTATAGTTCCCATTATTTTGATACTAAGTTAGCATCATGCATTATACTAGAACATAAAACTTTACATTTGAACATCTTTTCT